GACCGCTCGATCCGGAGACGAGCGCACTAACCATGAGGCCACCGCGCCTCCCAGTGGTAACCCACTGACATTAGATATCACTGGGGTTTATCAAAACATATTTCCCAACATATATTTCCCGGAAGTCCGCTAAATAGGTCCAAATAGATGCAATCTAGCAGTCCGAAACAAATAAATTTTGGACGTTTGCTAATCTTTATCGTCTATCTCTATTCATTGTTATCTCATACAGATCACTGATTCTGTAGTGAATAGTCCATAGAGTTTTATAGTTGTTATGTTTGTAACTTTCAGATACTTTCCCCAGAACCCAGGGTGGTTAACCAGGGTTAAAAGATGTGAACAGAGCAGCAGAATCGAAAAGATAGCCTGTACCATTGTTTACAAGGACAGCCTAACTGCTCTGGAAGCTAATGCTTATCGGACTAACCCCAAAACGAAATCCTGGTTTTTCATTGGGCAAAAAATTTGGGGCATGGTATTTTTGGTGTCCAATCGGTGAGCTGCATCTGATCACTCCTATTTCATGTCTGTTCACACTATATTGTTTTTGCCATCGATCGATGGCAAAACATGCTATCCAGCATCGTTTTTCCTCACAGATCTTGTCAATTTTTTGAACCTTTAGATAACCGTAACTTCTTACACTTTATCACGCTCTTTCCATTTCTGGTATCTATTTTGTACCAATATCAATTTCTTTTAATGATTGAAAAGGGCACGAGCCAGGGCCAGCCTCATTTAAAAAAAAAAGTTTCGATACTTATCATGCAGTGTCAATATTTAGAAGGAAAAGTTATAAAAATAGTTGCATAGTTGCTTTTGGACGTTTTGTGGCAGTTACTGAATGCTCAGTGATGTAAGTGTTTTTCGATTCTTTGGCAGGTTTAATGGTTTGCGTTATTACAACTTTTCATGAAAAAGAAAAATTGATTTCAAGGTGAAGAAACATACGGTTTGACCTTATATATGCTTTTACTTATAGCTGTTAATATAAAGTATGTAATGCTATGTTGATCGAAATGGATTAGGAGCAGCTGTAAGGATAAGCTCCTAATGCTCTGTCCTGGCTCGCGTCTCAAATAGCATCTTCTAACCAGGCTCCTACCACAAGCAGACCTGTTGCAGGACCGCTTTAACAGATTCTGGAGGTGCGATGGCGAGATACTGGCGCCCTGACTAGCATGCCTCCGGTAGTTGGGACTCGTAGCTCAGGAGGGCAGCTCATCTAATTAAGAGACGGAAAACGTTCCTTCTAAACCTGGGAAGATCAAAAGACCAGACTGGGGGTTGGGTAATGAAAATATAAGCTCTTCTAGCAAAAACAAATAGAAAACAAAACCGAACTTGGACATTATTCTTAATATTACAAGAATTTGAAAAGAAAGAATAATAAAGACGTAACAATTTATTTGATCACTGAAATGCGATACTGTCTTCAGACATTCATCTTCCTTAAACTGTTCTTGCCGCACTACCAGTCTTCCACCTGTTTTGAAGATGGCAGCCTGTAGCTCAGGCTTCGTACAAGCCACATGATGCTGGACCTGTTTCTGGGCCCATTTACCAGGAACTCGCCATTTTCTCGCATTTTCTGGCATAACAGCTTGAAATAACTCTGTTGGGTTTCCCGGCGCCTTGTGGGCGTTCGATGGTAGCTTCACGACTTGAATCTTTGACTCTGTAAACCGCTAAACTTACTGAGTCACAGGATTAGAGTGTTATTTAAATGGATTGTTGCACCTTCCAGATAGTTTCTCGTCGAATTCCTGACAAAATATCCGCAAACACCTATCGATGTTCTTCGCACAGCAATAATACTAGTTTAACATTTCGATGTCGATAAAAAAACATGTGACTCTTTTGTTTTCTCAGAATTGAATCACGTGACTTTCCGTACTTTTGTGATTGGATACGCTGTAACTTAAGGTGGCTGAACACAGTTTTTGATACCTGCGCTTCGTTCGCCTTTTTCTCTAAAACCTCAAAAATGACAACAAGCAAGTTAACAACATAAACTTGTTTTTTTTTATAGTTAAGCTGACGTATGTGCCGTTGCCATGGCAACATGAATAAATATAAACAGGCCTTTAAAATCGGTTTTGGTTATTTGCAAAAAAATTAGTAATAAGATTTTCTTTATAATTTGCATGCAACAAGCTTGTAACGATGCTCTCAAGTTAACACTGACTATTGTAATACTAATTTAACAGAAAGATCTTTAATTATCTCTTGTTGAAGGTTCACTGGAAGCTCTAGAATTTCCTCCGTTAAAATTCAATTTTTTTCCAATACTCCAATTACTTATTTCCTAAAGTATTTTCGTGCCAAATTTCGTGAAATTCTAATGTTTGCTTCTCGATAAATGAGCGTATTTCCGAGAAAGCTATTCCACACTCAATCGAAATTTTTTTATTTACTACGCCGCGCTGCATTTAACTGGGTTCTTTTGGTAACAAAGAAAAATCTGAGAATTGCTGGGTTCTCTGCAGCGTTACCTTTTCTAACATACCTTTGTAGGAAAAGACTAAAACCATCAACACACGTTGTTCGATTATGAAAAAAATAACACAGATAATGCGGGCATTGAGCAAATAAATGATCGCTGTATAAACGTCGTGTTTGTTTTTTGCAATCCTTGTGCGCGCACGGAATCGCATTAGCAAGAGTGCGCGCGAAATCTGTGTTCGGCCACCTTAAGTCTTCTTAGCGTGATCCATATGAAAATAACTTTCCATGTGTGGAATCAAACAAAGTTTAAGAAAATCACAAAATCATTTGTGACACTTTGCTTGTTTTAAATTTTTGTTGTAAAACGTCGATCCAGAACAGTTTTGTTACAAGAATATGGAGGCTGAAATCTCTAGACTTTTAAGAATAAACCCAAGGCTGAAATTTTGAACAGAATATAATTTTGTCTGAACGTTGGAAATTTGTAAATGCAATACAATTTTCTTTTTTTTTTTTAAATAAACCGTATAAAATTCTTCCTATCTCTAAACGGCAAAATTAGCCAAAAAACACTAGCATTAGCTGTATGTTGGATCGTGAAACCAAATAGCTTGTGTAAAAAGCAAGCTTGAAACATGGGAAATTATATTTAACAAGACTAAACAAACTACGATGGCAGTGGAATTTCTTTTAATTTCATTTTGGGCAGTCATTTTGCAATGGTACTTATTTTACATCAATGATTTGATTTGCACTAAGTTAAAGCCCTTTCGTTTCATTGGTTTAACTGATCCACGGCGACTGCTCGTCTTCTCGTTCTAAAGACAAACGTTCTCATTTCTGAGTAGACGCCAACAGTAAATCAATGGATTAAGAAAAGAGCTGATCATGACAAATGTGTGAACCCAGTTGCAAAAAGTATTCGCTCGAGCGGAGTATTTGCATGGATACCTGTGGCGGATCCAGACCTTGAGCTAAGGAGGGGGGGAGAGCAGTTTTGTTTTGCTTGCCCTGCCGGCTTTACTTCCTTCTGTGATTTTTTCTTTTTTTTACCCAAATAGGGGGGAGCCGGGCCCCCTGGGCCCCTCCCCTAGATCCGCCACTGGATACTTCTAAAAGGAGATAGACAATTGCTGGTACGAAGCATAACCGTTACTACAGCACCAACTACAAACACAGTTGTCTTAAGCGCTTTGTTCCACTTCAAAAATCTCTCCACTTCTCGTTGAGGTAACTGTTCAGTTTTATTATCGTGCTTTTATTTCTTCTTCCTGCTTCTCGTACATGTTCACAGCTTCGTCAAGACTTTCTTCCACATCAACCTTCGCCCAGTGACGTGAAATATTGTTTTAATTCTCAAAATGTCCGCTTTTTTGAAAAACCGAGACAAAATGTTTGTTATATTGACGTCTCTATGCCTCTGTCCTCTAATAGATCATAGGTGAGAACCAATCAAGATGCGAGAATAATTTGAGTTATTATATAAATAGAAAAAGAAAACATTTTCTCCGAGTTTCTATCGAGTCATACAAACACTCGTAACAGTTTGGGAGAACTCGACAAAGCTGTACAAACACTTTAGCCTGCATCTCGTGTGTTCCTTCTCTCGAAGGTTCACTTTTGTTTCTGATTAAAACAATTACGTTATTCGCTCTCGATTTCTATCACGTAATAGCTGACTAGGGCGCAGCCCGAGTCAATTGTCACGCATAGAAATTGAGAGCGAATAATCTAATAATTTTAGTATAAATCTACTAGTGGTCCAAATACTTCGAAAACGCAAAGAAGCAGCCCCCAATTCGTTAAGATGCACACACTACTAGCCTACTCACTATTTACAAAAGAATAGAGAGTGAGCAGCGCAGCCAATCATAGAACGCCATTCGTGATAGAGTGCTAGTAGATTTATACCAAAAATGCGATAGAACTAATGTACTCGGCGCAGAGAAAAAAATTGTCATCTTCCGCCTGCCTGTAATATAGATCGGATGACGTATAACACAAAACCTGAACTGAACTTTTGAGTCAAGACATAATGAAGGGAGAAACATCACCAGACGAAATTCATGACTTCAGGATATCTAATTTAAAACCATTTGAAAAGAGAAAAGCCATTTGTCGGTAATTGTTATCCGATCTTGTCATCACCAGCCTCAAGCGGGTAGTCATCTGACTTCCCCTGGTATATAAAAATCATAAGGTCCTACAGCTCTTTTCTCTGTGTGTTCTATCGCTCTCAGGAGTTTCTTCCTGCACTCGTTACAAGAGTCGCCGTGGGTCAGAAAGAGAAGAAATATTGATATTCCAACAGCTGAAAGACCCTTAATTAAACGCCTCCAAAACATACAACTGATTTTATTGGAATAACTTCTAATCGTAAAAAGCAATATTCCATCCAATATTCCTGCTAACGAGTCAAGCGAAATTCTTGCATCGCAACAAAGAGTTCTTCTCTGGCCCACTACAGCGTTACCACCGGTAGTCTCGATTTCCGCCGCTCTCTCGAGGTCACTCGAGCCCACGTTAGCGGCAATGCGACTTTTGGGGGGGGGGGGGGAGGCGGGGTTGTGTTACCCTATCTTTTACCTACTGAACAATGACGCACGTTGCTCCTCGGACAATGATACACCTAGCCTTTCCACGTGAAATGAGATAAATTTAAGATGTCAATTAAATAAAAAGAGCGCGTGAACTTCTTTTTGAAAGAACCCCGCGGTGAGCCAGTCCAGTCACGTCTCCCACGACTCGTGAATCTCGCGTGCCTTGCCGCGTGCGCGCCCATGCCCGTTTCAAGTTATTTCATTTACAATATATCATAAGAAGACGCTAAGTCTTGTCAGCTCAATCACAAACGGATTATTTTTGTACCACTTATAATCCATGTCCAAGCTCCCCAAGTCCGCGTTCAGAAGCTGTCTAATACAGGTAGAAATTACTTGAAATTGTTCATAATCGCCTGTCAGAAAATATTGCAAAGATGGACCTTTCTTGATAAGCCAGATCATTAATAGAGGGGAATGGTTATGGTTATGTCCGGTAAACATCAAAGGAACAAACAAAGATGCCAAGAATTATGATGAAAGGTCCACCACCGTGCAGTCTTTTGTTTTGAATGCATGAATTACGTATACGTAATCAAAACGTTTCTATTGATTTGTTCCTCAGAGTAGTCCTCAGTCAGAAGTAAACACGTATTGTGTTTTGTGCACGGCCAGAGGCAAAAACAGCGAACAAAAACAAACAGCAAAGAACTTTGTCGGGTCTTACAACCATTTCCCTCTTTTAGCTATGGCCAGATTACATTGCTTCAATTAAGCGTTAGAGCATGTTTCGTAATTAAGTCTAGTCTGTATAGTCTGAGGCGGTCACATGGTTGATTATTACCGACGCAATATGTCTCGCACCCACCGTGAGCTATTTGCTAGACACAGAAGAATGGTAGAATTAGAGGAGATTTGATTATTGCACTTTGATCTGGAGTTTCGAATTCGTTCTTGGTCGAAATCCACCTGCCCATCAGGCCTCGTTTTATGAAGACCTCCCACACACTCTCTCGAATCTGTCTATCTTAGGTCCGTGAAACACCATTGTGGCAAAGCTTTATGTCAAGATACCGTCACAGTGTTTATTTACCAAAACTAATAACTGCTGGTTAATGCTTAATGCATAGCCTTGTTTGAACACATAAACATCCACTACCCACGTACGCCACAGCGAAGGAGAAAACAGAAACAGTATATTCACGCTGTAGGAACTCGAGCCACAAATTCCAACACCGGACAGGCATCGTTTTATTTATAATGTAAGTGCTTGAGTAATTCTTGTAAAATTTAACCTTGCGAACCAGGTCATTGCGTTCTATAGCCCAGAGCTGGTTGAAAAGAACAGTCTCATTTGCATTAGTTACCCTAATGCAAAGTTTCTTTGTCACCCGTAGTCACTTTATCACCCGTTTTATTTGCAGCTTCTTCTTCAATTGCTCAATCTGTTCTCGTTAGCATCGGTGTTTTATTGTTCGCTACAAGAACACCGTCGCTAATAAATTTAATTCCGTTTTATAAGCCTCTTCTGGTTAAATTCAACACGGCCGAATATTTGTTTACTTTTTCTTAAAATTCGATGCCACATAAAACATATCTGTCTTCGGAAAAAAAGGCACAATATTTCAACTAATTATCGTAATTAAATAATGTTGCATTTTGCTTTAGCTTTTTCGTAAATGGTACTTTCGTAGCGTTAGTCTTTTTCGGATAGGTACGGCACTGTTTACATTGCTGCAAATCGCTGCTTGGCATCCCAGAAATGATTTGATACAGTTAGTTTTGCACAAACATAAATGGGCACTGGATTTAGCAAGGAGGAAAGGCACGCTTGGCCTGCCCTGGAAACGTCACAACAAAATGTTTAACATACATCACTCAACAAATTGGTTTATTTGGAAGATCTTTCTTAATCGTAACAACAAGATTTATAAATTTGGTTTTATTCTTTTCTAAGTCCGGCCTATTTGCAATTCGATCGTTTTACCGCCCCCCAATTTTGCAACAGACTCCGCGTAGACTGAAAAGCTTGACTTATCATGCGGATTTGAACGGTGGTTTTGCTTCAGACTGACAGACAGTTCCAAATTGTAAACGTCACAAATTCCGACATCAGAAAATGCCGCAGATTTGCCCTCAAGGCTCATACAACGACGGCAATGTCAGCAAGCCATTTTTTTAAACACATTGCACGAAAATTTGTAGTTATTTCATTCATCAGTATGGGATGTACTGAGCGAAGTCATTGTTACTGTGTGCCTGTAGCAAGAACTGCTAGACAATGTCTTGAGGAAAGGATATCAAGGTGGTGATCTATAAGTGGGAGAGGCAACTGGTAGGGTAGTAAACTTAATTTCCGCAGCTATACAATGACTCTGTTCGTTCAATAAAACATTGAAAAACTACATTAGAAGTGGACATCACGTTGAAAAGTTTCATGAAAGTAACTACGAAACATTGTTCTATCAGGTCAAGCTAATGGTGCATTTTCTCGATTAATATTAGCCAAGGGGAGAAATTAGATACCTTCCGCCATTACCCTGGGCTATTGTTTTCATGTATGTTACTTAGCCAGATTTTTGCATTAAAATTTATTTTGTCATGGGGCTGATGATAATTATAATGTTGTTTACTTTCTGAGCAGCTGAGTTTATAAGCGTTAAAATTTGGCGGAATTGAAGGTCTCCAGTGGCAGAAAGGCTACTTGTAGCGATATATCCAGGCGACTGTTTGGTACAATATAAAGTGTGATTTCCATTGAATTCTATACCATTAAACGCCCCGAGGATATAGTGCCATAAAAAGAACCCGTTTTACACCTCTAGTGCATACAAGCAAAACTAAAGAAAAGAGCTTAGTCAGTCAGATTAGTAAACCCTGGGATTATAGAGTTTGTTCCATATCATCGAATTAAAAGACCAGGGAAAATGTAGACACGTCCGGCATACAAATAAAAGCAAATGTAAAGGACGAAATTATCTTTCTGCGGCACAAGCTAGTATTCATGTGGAAGAGAAGCTTCTTCGATCTAACTTGTTTAGCATTCTGAAGCAAGTATACACCACGGAAACTATCAAAGAATTTCAGAACTTCTTTGTTTATGGGTGCCACTGAGAAAATTGATGATATTCTTATTATTTTTCTTTCTCGTGGGAAATGGTCTCGATGCTGTATGTTAATATAGGCTTACAAGATAAGCTCCGGCTGTTATTTACATTTATTTATTTGCTTTAGGAATTTGCTTTCGTTTATCTAAGGAAGAATTTAATGGCAAAATAGCCGCCCAGAATCTCGACGCCTAATAAGAATGCCCCAAGGCTCAGAATGTTAGACCTTGTAAAATTGATGTTATACTCTTTAATCTGCTTAACCTTGATGTTATACTTCAGGTTCTTTTTTCGTCTTTTATTAATCTCCTTATCCACCGAGTACTTATAATTTGTGTCCTTTGCACCTCGGGTAGAGTTATCTAGTCACGTCTTGAGGCCGCAGGATCTTGAACCGAGTCTCAGACAAAAAAAGGTTTCAAATTCTTTGTTCGCGTATTCGCCGGTAGATCTTTTATGATGCTAAATGGGCCACACCGGCTAAAAAATTCTACTTCACTTTACTGAATAATCGATGTTCATTACTCCTTTCTGCATAAAGCATCATCAAGTTTGTTTGTACCAGCCCTGATCAAGCTGAATGGAGTAAACAATGAAATGACATGCAGAATATTTCTCTGCGTGTATGGTCTGTGCCAGGAGAGCCAACTTTACCACGGATGATCAAACCTTTAGTGTGTCTACATGTAGACCAGTGACCACCTAGCTACACACTGTTCTTTGATCATTCCGCCGTAAATTTAAACCCTGATGTTATATTTGCTCAAGTCTCTGTGGATTAACTTTGCTTGGCGTAATTTTCTGGTAGAAAGCTCGGGTCTGAATTGCGGTTATCCTGAAACTGGCCTGATTGAAGGAAAACCATTAGAAATAATTTTCAAAGAGTTTTTACAGGAAGACTTTGGATAAGGCCGTATGTTTTGGTGAAATACGAGAATTCAAGTAATTGGATCAGGAGAAGAATCCCAGGCTGCTAGCGATTTACTTCTCAGCAGGAGAGGCGCAGCGCAATTGTCCGTTAGAATTGAATTATCCTTACATAACTCGTAATCCAACAGTGAATTCCTCGGGATTTACGGTATTACATGACCCACAACATTACTCTCTTTAATGAACTTCTTAACCACAAAAATCGGTTGACAATAACACGGCCATAGAACGCTTTGTGGCAAACAAATACTTATTTCATCTGTATTTTACGTGCTCTCCGATAGGACGGTCTTGGCGACAAGGTGTCTTCAATTGTTTTTTGGTCTCCAGTTACGGATGTCGTGAATCCGCTGGAATCTTTTGTACCATTACAAACGCTGCTTAAAAATACAAGACGTTGGCTCAAGTTCAAAATAATTCTGGAACTCCAACGCGTTTCATTTTTCAGTCAAAATTAAATACGCTGTTATATAACCAAGACTCAATTGAGTTTTCCGCTTTATTCCATTCTATAGTGCGGAGAAGAGACTTTAACCATGGCTGTTCGTTTTCGTTTACCCGCCTTGGTGAGAGAAGCTTTGGCTGAGTTCGCTTCCACCTTCATTTTACTGGTGAGTGGATTGAGTGATTCTGGTATACAAGGAAATATAAGAAAATGTTACACGCTATTTTACACAACGATATTTATAATAAGGAAAAACAGCCTCGAGTAAACTGGTCGGCGTCAAGTGGTGTGATTTTCACAAGGAGTGGCATATAAAGGTCTGACTATCCCAATGGGAAATAATACAAAGCAATTTAATTAAATACTTGTGAAATGTTCGTGGCTAGTCTGACGCGCGTTTCGTCTCGGCCAAGAGACTCTTCAGAGACCTTTAGAATTCAAAGGCAAACTCGTTGAGCATCACGCCCAAAGTCCCGTTCGCAAATTCTTGATNGTTGACAGTCTGGCCCTCTATCGCAGAAGGATTCCCAACCGTACGTTCACGAGTTAAATTTATACAAAAGCAAACAATTGTCAATTTAATTAAAGAGCTAAAAGAAATTTATTTTAATTTATTTCATTTTAATTGCGAGCTTGAGACATTCAGACCTTGTCTATGAAAAAACAAACAAACAAACAACAATCTGTACTTCGAGACTTTCATAGCCTTGCAAACTATCTTTAATGGCCTTGCAAAAAATCGAGACTGCCATATGATATTTTTGAAAAAAATAGTGAATGCGAGAAGGGCATACCGCGAGAACGGCATGCCACATCCCTTATATACGCCTTCTCGTACTTAGAAAAAAAACATTAACATAAATTTTGCGTTTGTGAAGAAGCTAGAAAATTGGAATAGATGGTCAGGTTATTTTCCCTTTCTTGTTAATTTTTTAATTTTCCATACCCAAGCAGCGCAACAGTTATCAAATGGCGTGGGGATAGGCAAGCTTCATGCAAAATTCAAACCCGCCTTTGATGTCGCCATGAATTCTTAAGCAGAGCCCAACTCAAAATTGCCTTTTTCTCAAATACAGCTATAGATGTGCACCCAGCCACGTTGCATCCAGTTTCAGAGAAGCCAAATAGGGAACGAAAACAAAAATCGTATGAAGTTACCTTTACTCTCCACGTGAAAACAGGGAATGCCATAAAAAGGTTTTTTTTATATACATTTCGTAGATGTTTGGAATAGGATCAGTGGCCCAGATGGTTCTTAGTAGATGGAAGTTTGGAAATTTCTTCTCAGTCAACTTCGGTTGGGGAATTGGAGTCACACTCGGCTGTTACTGGGCTGGCGGTGTTTCAGGTATGCATCTGAATAATTGTGTGAGCGATTTTGCCCTCAAGCAGTGTCTCTTCACGCTGGGGTAATCTCTACACGGTGCATTTACAGATCAGAAGTGTGACCTGTTCTCTTAAAACCAGCATGACCCTCTCCAGTTCGAAAAGTCGGCAAAATTCTTCCCAGCATGGCGTACAGTTATGCTCCTCCTCTGAACGAACAAAACGAACCCACAGCGAAAAACAGCATTTCTTACATCTTGTCAGTAACCGGTCGCAATTAAATTAAAAATTTCAAGCTGCATTCTTTTTCCTTCTATTCTATTAACTGGATCACCCTAAATGAAGCAGTTCCATCGATCGTATTTGGATTCTTTGCAGGCGCTCACATGAACCCCGCGGTGACATTAGCTTTCGCTGTTGTCAGGAGGATTCCCTGGAGAAAAGTTCCCGTATATTGGACGGCCCAGATGCTGGGAGCCTTCGTGGCTTCGGCTTGTATTTATGCAGTATACTACGGTGAGTTTAATGCAAATACTCACACAGTAAAGTTATAGTACAGGTTCGCCAGCTCTCAGACAACACCTTTTTTCATTTCATAACTTATTTAGTTACCGTAGAATTCCGAAAGTAACGGTCCCTGTTACTTTCGGATTTAGCAAGCAAAAAGAGCCGCTACTTTCGGGTAGCCGTTACGTTAGTCATGGGTACCCGTTACTTTCGGATGATTAAAAACGTTTGTACGGTAACAGTCATTTCAGACAAACCGGACGCATAACACATGAAATAAAAAGTTCCATTGGTGTGTGTTCCTGACTACCTACATAACCAAAGCAGACTGTATAAGCAATAAAGGTCCCAAATGCTGGTACTGAAGGGTGAAACTATTTTATCGCATTATATCGTGATGGAACTGATTACACTACGGTGCATCAATTGAATGTGCTGCCAGACAAATACAGCCCATAAATCATAATTTCAAGAAAAATTCAGTGAATTTGGAAATGAAATTACAAATAACTCTTCAATTTGTTCAGTCCGGCGGTCAGAGTGCTTCATCCGCATTGCGCTTGAGATCAGAGAGTTTCTCTTTTAACTTAGTGACTTCTTTAAAGGTCTACCACTTTCGGATGGGCCGTCACTTTCGGGGTTCAATAGGAAGGTAAAAAATTAAAGTTCCTTTCGGGAAGCCGTTATTTTTTTGGGGGGGGCGGTGCGTTACTTTCGGAATTCTACGGTAGTAAGAATGCTTTATCGGGCAATTGTAAAAGATGTAAAGAATTTTGCACGAAAGATGTGAGTTTTTTTTATTTAGTTTCTCGTCATCTCTTCCCCAGGGTATTTTGGCTAACCATCCCCTGATATACAATTACCCCTTCCTTCTGTTACATAATCCTGTTTAATAAGGTGAACTTAGTACCCATGTAGGGAAATAAGAGTTTCCGACAAACAAATATTACCTGGTCGTTTAGTTTAATTTCCTTCAAAGCATGTCAGCGGCCTTGGACTCAAGGGGTGGGGATCAAATGAGAGAAAAGAACGGGGGGGGGAGATCACAGAAGACTATTTTTATTCAATTTAACTGTACTTTATGATACCGAGTTAACTTAAGTCAAAATCGAACTCCATTAGTGTGTATAATGAGGAACAAGAAATAAATCACCACGCCTTAATGAATTCCTACACCTTAACATCCCCCATGTAACTCGTGCAGTTGGTATTAAGCTTATCATGGACAATTGGTTGCTTAATTGTAACCAAGAGAAAATGAGGTAGATCATGGTCTCTTGTTGTAACCTTATAGATGCACTGAATGAGTTTGATGGAGGCGTCCGACAGATATCGGGCGCAAATGGCACAGCGGGGATCTGGGCAACATATCCTCAATCCTACTTATCAACCTGGAATGGCCTTGTAGACCAGGTGAATTGTTAGCTTTTGCGACTAAATATTCCATTTTGTACAGCAGACCAAAGACAATCTATTACGTGTGAAATGACTTGATATGTCTTATTACAAAGAAAATGCCAAGGAGGGGTTCAATCCACCCTACCCCCTCCTCCTTTGTGCGACCGTGATGGTATGAGTTAACGTGTATGTCGGAGAATTCTACTAGAATACTAATAAAGTTGGAATTCAATGTAATGTAAGTGTTTCCTTCCAGCGTCAGGGTAATCCAAAACGTACGTCCTTCAGAATCTAGGGAGATCAATGTAAAATATAAAATGGTTCCGCTTTTATCTCCATACCAGGCCAGAGGTGTTTCTGGGATCTGGGCCAAAAAGTTATATATTCTGATGGCCTAACGTTTCAGAGATTCGTTTGGTTTGTATGACGCGCTTATGTTTGGTTCTAATTTTCGTGCGACAAGTAAGTAAGTTTCGGCTGATGAATAGCTCATCAGCTCCAAAAGCCAAAATCTCGAATTCTTCGGATAACTAACGTTTTTAAATTTAAAATTTAGGGATATCGGGCATCTTCATGAGCTATGACAGAGTTTTGCCATATATTTGCTCCTTTAATTGCTACTGATTGATCCGTTAATTAATTACTCTACCTTTGATAGGTGGTTAGCACAGCTCTGCTGGTGGGCTGCGTGTTCGCCATCATTGATAAGAACAACAATTCTCCCGACCAGGGGGTGGTACCAGTGATAATTGGCCTTGTAGTGTTTATCATTGGCGCCACTTTCGGATATAATTGTGGTTACGCCATAAACCCCGCCAGGGATCTGGGACCCAGATTGTTTACTGCCGTTGCTGGTTGGGGCTTTGAAGTGTTCACGTAAGTATTTGATTAATTTTATTTATAAATGCTTAAACGAGCTTTCTCGTGAGAGAGAATAAGAGAGTGTGAGAGTAAGCGACCTCGAACCTATTGTGAATCAGGCTATGCAGCATGAATTGCCTTCCACAGCGTCAAACGAAGTGCGTACGTATAGTTCCCGCCAAAACGGCCGCCTACAAACTTGTCAAGTTTTTAAAACCATCGTTTTTGGGCCGGACGATAAGACACTGGAAAGACAACCTTTGTAACTTGCAATTGAGCTACTGTCACCCAGTCTGGTCTGTCGGCTCGTATGATTAAACTGTCTAGTCAAACGCCTTACAATACAATTTTTAAGAGTTGTGAAGAAGTGTCTAAGAGCAGTGTTGCTTCCCCTAGGCGGGATGCTAAGCTCTAGGCCAGCGCGTCGATCTCTTTTCTCATAACTTTATTCCATCGGTCTGCTAATGCTGGTTCACTTGTACTTCACAGTGAGGCAAACAACTGGTCCTGGGTACCAGTAGTGGGCTGTTTGTTGGGCGGAGTGCTGGGAGCTTTCTTGTACATTGCCCTAATTGAGATGCATCACACACCCGACAACGATGGAGAGACTGCGTACGAACTCCAAAGTATTGTTACTAGTAAGCCCGAAGTTTGTAGGATGCAAGGAAATGGACTGGGGATGGGTAACATGGCTTTTACGGAGGACGGAATGGGCCCCAATAACAACCAGGGATTGGGCACGAACGTGACCGAGAAGACTTCCCAATTGTAATCAGTGGGGTCTTCAAAGTGGCTGTTTTACAAGGAAAACAACTTATTAGACTGTGCTTCTTTTTTTGCTAACAAAAACAACGCTACAATAGATAGTCAAAGTGATTACAAAATGCCAGCACGCAGATATATAATTGATCTAATTTTGTGTTAAAGTCTCAATTTTGTTCTGCGTCGGAGGTAGTTTATACAAGTGTATAAATTTTGCAAAAAAAAAAAAAAAAAAAACGTTCAGTAGCCATTTGTATAAAGTAGAATTCCGATAATAAAACTGATTGTACTGTTTATGGTTTGTACTTATTATTAAATATGCAATCGCAGCCTTGTTGTTTTTCCTTTATTTATAAAGGTAGTACAATTAATAGATTGAGACGAGGATGGGATGCGTACCCAATTAGGCTTGTCTTTGGTTATAAATTTCGTCAAAGAATTATACGTAAACCTTTAGCGGGAAGGTAGCGGTATCGTGATTTGCGACTGGAAATAACATAGTACATAGCCAATATGTGGAGTTTCTACTGCGCAGGGTCGATATCAATTAACAGTAAGAACATGCTGGGAACGTTATATTACTTAAACGCAACATAATTACAGAATCAGAATCTAAAGAATTTTCAGTTACTTTTAATCTCATTCATTAAGAAAGATTGGAATCCAGCTCATTAGCTGGGCGTTTTGTTAGTTACCACAACAACAGCAACAACAACGACCATAAACAAAATATTTTTCAATTGTCATATACAATACGTAACAGATGCAAGGTTAGATAAGGTGACAATAACTACGCATTCAAAAAGCCATATTTTATCATACATGTTGTTTGACACAATAATAAATGCATTTAGTAGAATTCTACTAAAATACTAATGCAAATGCTGCAATCTGATTGGCTGAGCTAACCGTACACTTTCAGCCATTAGAGTGCAGTGGCTGTCAGTCGTCTACGAAATGGCGACGTTTTCTGATATTCCAGAAGTTTTGGAGGAATGTTTAGATGCAAACGAATAATTAAATTCTTGAGAAGACTGTAACAGAGTTATTTACGGTTTCTTGACCTTTTTAAACTTGAAGTCATTGAAAAACGGGTGCACGCGCGCAGACAACTACAAATTTCCAATGTCCATGCGATTTTGATAAAGTCTACAGTTTAATGATACATGGAGAAATAATTGGAAACCATTATTTGCGTTCATTTAGTTAGAATCCTAGTAAAATAATTAGATAATTCGCTCTCTATTTCTATGAGTTGATAGCTAATAGAGAACGAATAATCTAATTGTTAAATAGAGTTCTTTCTAGTGACATAGCAGCTAGGGTAGTTCTGATACTTCCATTTTCAATTGTAATTTTGTTTATGTTTGTAAACGTGAGATCTGGAATGGTACAGTTTGACAAAGTGTGCTATAAGCAGGAACATTTACCAATCTTCTTATTTTTGGCTTTGAGACTCATTTACTAATTTTCCAGTATCTCGATCTGTGACATTTTGAACGCTTGAACCCTCTTGAACTGAAAGAACTATAGAATTACTTGGCAGGGTCCTACAACAGAAAACGGCCTAGCTACTGGTTACATCTTTGTACATATTCAATGTGCTACGTCTTTACTTATCAAGGCTTAAGTCTTGAACTTCAATTACCTTCCAAGGTAATTATTCGCTTTTCTCCTACAGACGTTTCTATACTAAATGCGACTATGAGGACAAGTACACTATATAAGACACCACTGAAAAGTCCTTAGTTATCATCAGCTGTCATGAAACACGATGATTCATCCGGAGCACCCACTCTGTCTTCAGTTACTTGTAATGATACTCTCGAGTTCCGTGTTAGCCGGCCTCGGGTCTTCTTGAGGGTGATGCATCTCGATAAGACCGATGTAGGCCAACGCCCCAAGAATTCCGCCCAAGAAACAACCAACTATTGGTACCCAGGACCAATTGTTTCCCGCGCTGTGAAGTCAAAACATATCATTTAATACGTTGGTCTCAAACGGTGCAAGGTTAATTTGCTCCAGACTTTCGCTGCATTTAAACAGTAGTCGTAAAAAGCAATGCACGAAAGAAAATAGCTTACAGAACACAGCAAAAGAATATTGAGGGATAGATTTTACTGATTGCCGAATGTTTCGACGATGCGAAATGCAAATCACGAAACGAAAACGCAGCGGCTAAACGTGCAATGTAATGTTTTCAGTCCGAACTCTGCCACGACTTAACGAAAAACTTAAAGCTGACACGACCCAATATAATATTAATCAGTGGAAGATAAACATGCATTCCAAAATTTAGAATAGTCCAAATTCGACATGCAGTGTTTTGCTCGGCCGTCTGAACGGACGGCGTTAGTGTTAATTTATAAGAGTTCGCTGTAACATTGAACTCCAAATTTGTCAGCTGAAAAAATGACCGATGGCCGAAATCTGAGTTTTGATAGCCAAGGAATGTCCGAGAATTCAACTGACAGCTGAAATTTCAGCACCCGGTCTTAATAATGGCCAAGCTCAAACATGGATTACTGATCCAAGACCCCTTAGTGAAGTGCTCCGAGTCCCTCGCCGCTCATTAAGAAAACAACTTGAAGATTACTACTCCAACACATTGTATTATGGGCGATTCCTCTACTTGTTCTAATGCAACTAAAATCAAGTTTAAAAGTCCATACTTACGTGAACACACCCCCGCCCCATCCAGCTATTGCGGTAAAAAGTCTTGGTCCCAGATCCCTGGCCGGGTTAATAGCGTATCCGCAGTTGTATCCGAAAGTGGCGCCAATAACGAACACGACCAGACCAATCATGACGGGTATTGAGCCCTTGTCAGGAGTATTGTTACTCCTATCGATAATGGCGAAGACGCAGCCAACCAACAGGGCTGTGCCAAACACCTACGAAATACATGGACACATACTAGTCATGCAATGCTTCCTCGTCTACCGTGAAACACCACTCGCCTATCTGTCTATGCCCGCCTTTCTGTCTGTCAATCTGTCGGTCTGCCTGCTTCCTGTCTACCTGCCGGTCTATCTGTTTGTCTGTCTGCCTGTCTACCTGTCTGCCTGTCTGTCTGTCTGCCTGACTGCCTGACTGCCTGACTGCCTGAGTTCCTGTCTGCCTGTCTGCCTGTCTGCCTGACTGCCTGACTGCCTGACTGCCTGACTGCCTGACTGCCTGACTGCCTGACTGCCTGACTGCCTGACTGCCTGACTGCCTGACTGCCTGACTGCCTGACTGCCTGACGGCATGTCTGCCTGTCTACCCATCTGCCCGTCTGCCCGTCTGCCTCTCTACCTGTCTCCCTGTCTCTCTGTCTGTCTACCCTCCTTTCCGCTTATCTTTCATCAGCTAGGTTGGTAAATTTACCTAATTCTTTTGTATTCACATATTATGTTTTGTAAAGTAAGTTTAATATTAATAAAGTAAGAAAGCGCGTGTTGTTGTTGTTGTTGTAATTATCAAGCAATGATCTATTCTAGATGCCAATGATTTGTCTTTGTTTACCTGATCACCAAAGCCATTCCCAATTGACAGGTAGTCCTGAGGATATGTAGCCCAGATCCCTGCAGTGCCATTTGGACCCAGTATCTGGCGGACACCTCCATCATATTTGTTTAGGGCGTCTATAAGATTACAAATGACATAGAAAAAAAAAGGATTATTGTTGGGTAACAAAACGACGGTTTCATTTCAAGCAGTGTTTCACATAACCATGTTGTTTCCAGGACAGAAATCTGTTGTTACGCTTGCGCAGTTTAGCTAATCACGCCACTAATGAGACTATATGCTGGTTGAATAGTTTCCAGCTGAAGTAAACAGAAATGTTCACATTAACACCGGTCCAAATATTCACCAACACTGTGGACATCTTTAGTAAAACTAAACCTTTCGCAGTAGAATGCTTCATGATTTCATGATGTGTGCGCGCGGAGTGAGAAAATAAAAGCCGTCAACCTAAGAGTAAGAGAATGCTCTGAGCATGGATAAAACTTGCCATAGTAAACTCCATAGACACAAGCAGAAGCCACGAATGCTCCTAGCATTTGTGCTGCCCAGTATACGGGTACTTTAATCCAGGGAAGTCTTCTCACGACAGCAAATGCCAACGTCACCGCGGGATTCATGTGAGCGCCTGCAAAGCATGATATTTACAAAAATGTTATTGGATAAGCGAAATCTACTTCGGAATTGATAATAAGTAACCTAGGTTAGGTTGTTCAAAGTTTAATAACACAAAGACAGGGTTAGCTCCACTTCAAACGCAAGATGTTTTACAAGTAATTAAAAGCATTATCCGCTCGATATTGTGTCAAGCATTGCTATTTTTAGCTAATCTCGAACAATAACATAGAATTAGTCCACAAAATAAAATTTTAAGCCCGCATTACTTATTTTAATCGGCTTCCGAACAATCCTGCCCTCAAGTTCCGTCATGTACCAGCAGAAAGGTTCAGAGCAGAAGTCACGAAGGAATTTCAACACTTTTGGCTTTTTGTCAATCGGTCGTTTAGCGTGCATTTGTTGGACTTATGTCTTGGGATATTTACTGAAAAATGATTCACGTCATACCCATTTCCTAGTGATTTTGCCATGGTCCATGTTGTCAATAAACGGGCCTGATAGACTGTATTTGCGCCGTTAAGTTCCACAACTAAGTTCTTGATAATAAAGGAATAAAGTACTGTCTGCAGGTCCCCTTGTGTCAAAATGTTTCTAAAATAATTTGATCATCACATTGGGTGCAAGGCAGTTTAAAATAAGTATTTTATATCTACTGCAGTTTCGCTGCTCTAAGCTTACCTGAGATTCCCCCTGCCCAATAACAACCGAGTGTGACTCCAATTCCCCAACCGAAGTTGACTGAGAAGAAATTTCCAAACTTCCAGTTACTAAGAACCATCTGAGCCACTGAACCCACTCCAAAAGTCTGCAAAATAACGTAACAGAAAATTACGGCTCATGAATTTTCATCTCTTATTAATATCCTTCCTGTCTTGCTAGTCCATATGCGCCATGGTATTTCTGCATCTTTGGCATAAAAACCCCCTATCAAGCTTTTTTCAAGATTTCTTTCAATGCGGCAGTAAAGTGCAAGGATACAATACTAGATATGCAATTCTGGGAAACAAAAATAGCTTACACAGCGACTATGACTATTCACTGGGACAATATCCCCAATGTCCCAATGCCTTAGCCCCAATGCTCTTAAAGATCTCAGTGCATTCAGCCTCTCTAAACAAGTGAAATTTTACGGTCTGAACAACATTCCGGAAGCCTGTTTTGATTTTCTCCATTGTATTATACCATGTACACATCTCTTCTCTAAAGAAACATACAAAAGCTGGGGGACTGACTAGACAACTTTCGGGTTACTTCATTCTCCTGACTCAAATTGTTCAATTTTTTCTGTCCTGAAATAAACAAAATAGAAATAATTTACAGTATCTAGAGAGGAAGTCACATCAGCCTTAACTAGTTTTCACCCGGGTCCTCTATTCTGGTAGAATTGGAATTTGGAGTGATCGTTTTTGTGGAGGGAGGAAAACCGGAGAACCCGAAGAAACACCTTCGAAGCAAGGCGAGAACCAACAACAGACTCAACCCACATATAGCACCAGGGGCCCGTTTCTCGAAAGCCCCGGAAGCCTTTCGGGCCCGCAAAGCGATTTTTAATTAATCTGTATCTAAAAACAAAGAGGTGTAAGCACCTGGAACTTTTTGTATGAAGAGAAACTCTCTTCATGTTAAGAATATGTCAATAAAACAGCTTTACAATCATAAGGTTTGAAGATTTTGCTACGGGTTTCCGGGTGCGAAAACTTTTCGGAACCTTCGAGAAACGGGCCCAAGGCCGGAATCGAACCCGGGCCACATTGGTGGGAGATGAACGCTCTCACCACTGCGCCAGCCCTGCTCTCCTATTCATATACATTTTATAAAACTGTAAATGTAGAAGTGAATACAGTTGTTGTATAGTGGCCACCCCCCTCCCCCCACCCCCACCATAAATTAGCAATCCTCTTTTACTCACCAGTAAAATGAAGGTGGCCGCGAACTCAGCCGCAGCTTCTCTCATCAAGGCAGGTAAACGAAAACGAACAGCCATGGTAACGTCTCAGTAATTCTGCTGCGAAGAAATACAACAATGGTTCAAACCAGTGGCCTTTGAAATGTTGACGCATCTCTGCCTGATTACCTATACTCACTAACTACTTTCTGAGAGCAAAAACAAATAGGAGCCACGCCTGAGAAATGATCGAGATTCTGTACGTTGAAGCAGCTCCCTTAGCTCTAGACGTTCTGTAGAACCCATCGGACCCCCCATTCACTTGAGTCAAGGGATTATCAAGACAAGTTCCTTGATAATCTCTTGCTTGAGTATAGGATTTTTCCCCCTTCCCTCTCGACCCCAAAATGACTAGTTTTACCCTGCTTGAGACATATGTAAGCGTACACGGCCATTAGTTCTTCCACTGAGAGAAGCCGCAGTGAATACATGAAAATCTTACAGAAAGCGGCAAGTAAAATATATTCCGTCTAAAACAACAGAATCTGGAATCGATAGTTCGGGCGAGACAAACGTGAGAACGGGAGCTTTTATTTTCAAGTAGTATATATTGTCAACTTGCTAAGACTCTCCTTTCTTAGCCAATGCCATGCATTTATAACTGGATTTCTAGCAACTGAGGAGTACCGCACTACATTTACGAAATTAGTATTTTTACATTTGTTGTTATTGTTGTAGACCGTAGTCCCTCTACTTGTCCTTCTGATGTTGATTGCCTTAAGACATTTATTAATAGAAAAACCAACCTTATTTGTTTGCAAAGCGTGATCCAGCCCTAGCCATTTCTTTCTGTTTGACAGTAATCGATACGATTGTTAAGCTGAGCGCTAGCAAACCCGATTGGGAGATAAATGTGGGTCAATTCAATGAAGTCGGATTAAGAAACGATGGAATGGACAAAACGTGACCGAGACAACAGTCTTCCCAACTTGTTTACCAATCTAATGATTTAACTCAATAACAGGTAACTTGACAGGAGCTGACAGATTAAGGTCAACCCAAACGAGAAATCAAAGAGAGTCCAAACGACTTGAGGATTGAAAGTTTGTCGAGTAGACGCGAGCTTGTCCTCACACTAACACTACGACCACTTGGCTGCCCATGTTGGCATTACAGCGAAAAGTTTATTGCTGTTGTATCTCACTGACCATGTTCTGGTTTCCTGGTGGTCGCATTGGAACAACAATATATTAAAAACGGGAACAATGGTGTTAAGACTATCCACAAGTTTGATGCGGATTACGCTGAACAAGAACCTCGAGCTAAACGACGCACCTACCAGGGGGTAAACGCGTCGTTCTGTTAAACCAAAAGATAAAGTTGTAATGTCTTGTTCAAATATGTCAGTAACGCAACAATGAGCCAGAACTGTTTTTAGGAGTATTCAGTTATCGTCAATCTTTACTAGATTCTTGCGTTCATCGCGATATAAACGGGTTTATCGATACAAACAGCATGATTATGGTCCGATTATGCGCTAGGACGCCTCCTTCTTGTGTACTTCCCACTATGGAAGTGTCACCGGTCAGCAAGATGTGCCCAGCTTTTCTTTCTGTCATCATAATCTGACCTTAATTCCATGGATTTTTCCCCTCAACAGATCGACATTGAAACGACTGTAAACATTCTAGAACCTACAAACGTCGCACGCTGACGTCCCACGTCGCATGCTGACGGGAAGGGACTGGGACAATTTTTCCCAGTCCAGGCTTTCCAATATTACTCTATTGAATTGTGCCATACATTTCTTTTGGGTGGCTCGCTTTGAATAGCACAATTTCACCTTATTCAGTTGCTGTTTGTTCCGTCAAAATGGACGCACTTTAGCCCAGATATAAAACATCAGCACAAAACGCAGTGACCCAAAGTGTGCACCCGATATGCAAGAGGCATGAGAATTGGTGTGACCTTCGCCATAACAAACGATTGGAAGAAAGCCAAGAACCCACTGATAACCCATACGATAACGTAAATTTTATATTTATGCAAAATACATGACGATGGCAATGAAATGAGCCGCAATGTGACAGAATGTTAGAATCTCAACATTGCTTTTCCGTCCGTTCAGTGGTAATCAGTTCACAAGGCTCCATCATTTCTGGGTAGTTTTGTTCGCAAGCATTGTCATCCGTAAACTTATTACCGCTTACATTTTTTTATTCGCAAGGAATGCATGTCGGACTAAACCAGCTCACACATCACATTGAAGTCTTGTTAACACCAGGTAAGACGCGGTGTAAAAAGATAATCAAGAGCGTTTCCTCTGAGGCGCATGGTTCGCGCGCATTCCGACACTTTACAATTTAAACTTTTTCTAAACGTGATCATATCGTGCGAGTGATTTCTCCAGCGTTTGCTTCAGGTTAGCTAATGACCTCTAAACTTCCGAATGCCTTTCTTTCTACGTAGTTTCCAGTGCTCTAGTGAAAATGAATCTGAAAAATTTCAATTTGGTCGTTCACTAAAGCTAGCAAAACACTACTCAAGTACAAAAAATCAACTTACCTTCTGTTGGTATGAGCTTTAAGCAGCTCGAAAGATAAAACTCTCCTACAGTTCTAAGATTTCGGATGCGAATGAATGTTTGCTTTGGCTTTACCGGTTATTAACCCTTTATGACAGCTTTGTCTTGACATTAGATAAGACAGTCGATTGCACTGTTGACATCTAGACTTTTAAACTGGCCTGGACTTTTGGAATAATGGTCTACCGGACTATTACTTCAATTTCCCACAAACTTTGGCCTTTCTTGGACCAACATTATGTGACCAGTGGATACAGCAAAGGAAAATTATAAAGAATTATTGAGGTAAATAAATACAACTTTAAGGACACGCTACGAATTAACGTATCCAAGACTGAAATCTAATCTATTCATTTTTACCGTTTATTAAGTGACATTTTGACAGTGGTTGGAGGGGGCTTCTTGTCCCCATAAGGGTCCGATAATTGTTTTTCCTCACCGTAGCACGCAACTAAACAAATTCACCGTCAAGTACAGTTTTCCGGGACGGAAGAGTGTTTGTTCCACGTATATACAAGATCGCCATGTTAACCGATTGACAAATCAGGGGCACCCAACGACCGTTTTCTCTCGAATGCTTTTAAGCGCTGTTTTAGGCTATCTGGGGTACTTTTAAAGTTCTGTAGGTTAATTTTAGGTTGCGCTAAAAAAAATTATCTGTTCAGTTATTCTAGGAGAACTTGAGTATTCTCGAATTTATTAGAGCGTTTTTGTCCATTTCCCCGAAAACCTTAGATCTTATCGCCTTTCAGAAAATGATAGCTGACCTTTTTTCGGTACCCAAAACGACATTTTTAACAATCCGAAGACAACAGACATTAAATTTCTCACATCACGAAAGTTCGAGATGACAATTCTCTTAAGAAAATCAGAGGGGATTAAAGGCCTTCCGAACAGATAAGTTACCGAAACGATTCGTTGGGTGCCCCTGACAAATGAAGTGAAATTCTTTTTGACATATCTAGTTATGGTTAAACTAACCTCGGCGCAGGAGAAGTCAGTTACACTCTCAGTTAAAAGATCCTCTGACCACCGCTGGAAGCAAAATACACTGAAGAACAGCGCGCTAAACACACAGACGGAGCAGGTATCTCAGAGCCTCACGAATCCCAGGGTCTGATATGACTGAGAACGCTTCACAACTTGCCTTTGTTACTGAGGTTAAGGTAAGTGGCCATCTCAGAGGGTGGTAAAGGGGACCTAGATCACGTTTCACGAAAATAAAAAAAGGGTCGTTCACTATTCACATAAAATAAAATGGGCATTTTACGTATCATAACTCAGGGAGGAAACTTTTCAATCAAATTTAACAAAATGAATGAGATTTTGAAATTAAATGTCCAATGAACAGCCTTGTTCGACATGTGTCATTTCTGTTCGCCTTATTTCCACCAAAAAAAAATTGAGAAGGATCGAATGGATTTCACAGAGTCATGCCATGTTTATTACGTAATGAGAAGTGTCGAGAATAACACAAAACATAATCAGTCAAAATAAGGGTTCACGGCAAGCATTTATTTCTTGTTTCACAGAAAGTTACCATCATGCTTAACAGCTAATAGCCTGCGCGCAGGCTCTTTGCGTGGCTTACCCCGAGAAGAGTCTGTCTGCAGGCTATACGGCTGCTAACAAAATCACGATTTTGACGCCGGAGAAAAAAATCTAGCCCTTCGACTTTTAAGGGAAAAAAATAAGGCAATTTACAACTCAGAAAATATCCTTTATCAGCATCACATCACCGAATAGGCACTGACATTTATGATCAATATTTATCACTGTCTTTATCATGGATATACGCTTTTTTTGTTCCTGCAAGACTACTTTTCAGGCCAATAGTTCAGGATCAGAGCCTGGAACAGATGCTCACATCTGATGACAGTTTTCGTCCTTTGCTTGGCAAAGCATTTAGCTGACTTTTGATTTTCACGTGCGACACAAGACATCCAGACAACAATGAATGGATTATTTTGGCAAGTCACGAATATTTCTTGCTGTTATATTTTTGACTTCTCTCTATGGATAAGCTATGGATTTTATGGTTCAAAATAGCAAATGATCATGTACGACTGATGATCAAATAATGATTTCGGGGAAGAAGTTGTAAAAACCGGGATTCCATGGTTATAGCATTGCGTGTAAAATTATGACAGTCATTAATGTCTCAGAAAATTAAATGAGTAGCTGGTTTTCACATGACGTCACTAAAATTCGAACTACAAAGGTATTGATCTTCCTGAGATTTTACTTTAATGATGTATAAGAGCAGCTNTCGCTCGAGCGCTCGCGTAATTTCGCGATCGCTATGACAACCAACACAAAAGCAAGGCATTAGTCACGAATAAGCCGCGAACCATTTATACGAGCACTTCGCGTCTTATACAAGTCGCGCTCGTATAAATGGTTCAGTTTGCGTCCAGTACGTAAGCCGGGACTTGAGTAATCCGCGGCTTGTTTTTCTCGTATAAATGTCCCTTGAGTCGCCGACGGAAACCTAATAACAAAGTTGCCTGGCATCTTACCTGAGATGATAAAATTGTCTTTCCAATTTCCCCGAACCGTTTCAATCGGATCTCGAATGTTAATGATTTTGCAATACTTAGTTTGCCTAATTTGTTTTTAACGCTGGATTCGGACTATATTAAGTTTTCGTACTAAAATAATTAGATTATTTCAGCTTTATTTCTTAGCTATTTCTAGCTGTAAATTTTTTCAAAGGTTTTACTGGGATTAAGTTGAGTACTTGGGACAAAGTGCGAAAGAAACAACAAGCAGATCACAAACAGCGACAAAAACGACCTCACTTGGTGTTTTGCGCAAAGATATTTTTCTTTTTAAGGCTTGTTAAAGTCGTACGCATTTAGCCGCGTAGAAGATGGCATTTTAAAATTGAGGAAACGGAGGGGAGAAAAACGCGATGAATGAGTAACCCGCGATATTACTCACAGTTTCTACTTTTTCATCTTGGTTGTACTTGCTGCGTATGTTTATACAGACACCTGAAACCGGTCGCATACTGTACCTTTGCCAAAAAAGTAAAACTGGCACTGAAAAAAAAGAAAGAAAGACTGTATCTGCCTCTTTTCTAAATGTTACTTTTCACATTGCCCTCGAACAATTTGGACTGTTGATCCGTCGAACTACTTTTTTGGTTGCTTGTTTCTTTTTTTATAGATCAATTGGAAGAAAACGTCGAGGCAAAAATATTGTACCTGACAGGCAAGGGACACAGCAAATCTTAATGGATAGTGACACTGGATAACTTAATTTTTTTTTTGCCTGATCTCTAAAGTGACTATAAATTTAATAGATACAGTAATGTTCTTAATCGCTTTCTAAACACGCTACAACATCGTAACACTTAAGAATACGATTGGACAGGACAGGCTGAGTTTGACCTCAACAAGAGGGTCGTGAGTGGCTAAGTAACGTATACTAAATCTATTTCTATACTCAAAACATCAAGTATAATCTGAGTAATTAATGTGATTCATGTACCTGCATTGCACGATCGGGCAAAACGGGTCTTAAACCTCAACCAGTGCACATCACGTTCAACCCGTTACTCGCTTTTTAACCCCGACACTCTATACCATAATTGGCACCATCAGAGCTCAAAGATAGAGTGACTTATTTAGGAGACAAAAACCACAAAATAACTAAAACTTAAAAAACATCGTCTGGTTGAGAGGGAATACAGGGAGAAAAGAGCACTTGGAAGCTGAAAAAGGGAAAGAAAGAGTTAAGAAACTTGAGAAAGCGGCCATTTCCTTCTTCTACAAAGGCGTGACTGACTATCATCCTGAGAACGTGTGAACGCCAAACACATTGTTTGATCTCACTTCAAATCTATTTACAGACCATAAGCCCAAAGCCAGCTATTTTTTACATTTTACCACAACATGATCTAGTGAAGGCTTGGAGAATCAATGTCATACACAAGAAGAAATGAGTAAGATTCAGATGACAAGGAGAGAATGGTTGAACAAACTGATATCTGAGTTTGCGTTTCATCACCGGGCCTTTTCTAGTGTTCCTTTTTTATCGTTTATTATGTCGAAAAGTCCAGCTTTTTGTCCCCCGTTTCACCTGACATGAAAACCTGGCCAGAGTTAGTTTTAAGTCAGTTTAACGAGGATTCTAAATATCTCATAACGCTGAAATAATTGGATTACTTAGCCATATTTTAAGCTGTTTACCTAACATATGTATTTGTGAATTATTTTAAAGTTTTTTTAGGATTAGGTTTGAGTTCTTGGCACCACAAGAAAACAGAAACAAATAAACTGAGCAATCCAAAAACGGCAAAAATGATCTCAATTGAAAGTTACCAGTGGACGTCCCCGGAATGAGGCGAAAACTATTCAAGTTACGCGACTAAAAAGCCAATACAGAAAGAAATAAGACAAAATAAAACTTAAGAAAAGAAAGAAACTACTCCTATAGTGTTGACCCTGTTTTTTTTGTTTTTTTTTGCCTCGTCAGGTCAAAATAGCCGTGTTCTATACGGTGCTATATTCTATTACTTAGTTTATAAAGCTTAATTGTTGTTGTTGTTCTAATTCTGGCGATGACATGCAGGGGTGAAGGGGCTTTTTCGCTTTGCTTTGAAAATCGTGCTCGATTTCACACTAAAAATAGTTCACAAATTGCATTTCTCAGTGACTCACCCCCCCCCCTTCCTCGCGCTGCACAACGCCAATTGTTTCAAATCGTAACATGTAACCTACTCAACGACATTCTGGGGAAGGGGCTTTTTCGCTTTGATTGAAAAACCATGCTTTATTTCAGACTAAAACAGCTCACAAATTGCTAAATGATTCATCGATCGAGCCAACCCTCAGGGCTCCCCNCCCCCCCTTCCCAACCCTAAGCAACGCCACAGGTCTTTCGAATCGTGACACGCACTGTATCAGGCGCGTAAAAGATGCACTTTAAAGGCATGTAATTACTCCAAGCCTGTT